TATATTTTGAAAAAAAGGCACTACAACCAACTGCATTGTTTTAGAGAATTTCTCCTGGCCACAGCTTCTATTTTTCATTAAAACTCCTGTTCAATTCTGGGTTCCTGACCTATTGCCTTACATCTGGTTCCTGCCAATCTGCCTGCCTCTTGACTCTGATGCTAATTAGAACTGCCCGCTCATATTAATCCTGGCTGTCTACTGCTTGTTGCCTTTCTAATTTTGAAACTCTTCCAACTTCTTCATCTCATCCTCGTTTTCAAAATCTATCATAAGCCATCATCAGACTCTGCTTGATGAAGATGAGTTTGGAATCCACTCTCCATGCTGGATATCTTTGTCTGACCTTCAGTTCCATCTCTTTCTGGCTCTACCATGCTCAAAGCCTGAGGAGGCTGAATTTTACAGCTTACAACAACTGGATCCTATACCCTCTGGCTTCCAGTTAGAATTGGCCAATGAGAAGCACTTATAGGAGAACAGAGAGCAGGGAGACTGAGTCACTAATGATTTCCTGGCTTCCCTGTGGTCAGTCACAGTAGCCACAGGTCCTATCAGGTAGCTCTTACCTGTGGCTCTCTCTGGATCTGGTAACCTGTCCCCCATATTGGCCCTACAGGCCTTGCAGTTGCTGTCTTACATGTTTCATGACCCTTTGATGGTTTCCCTTAATTCTACTCAGACCTTTGTATAAGATTTCCCTTTCGACTCTTCTCAATTACCTCATTTGTGTGTGCTCTTTCCTGTAAGGACCTTGATTAAAGCACCTCTAGTTCCTAGATTGCTGCCCTGAATGCAGTAGGACCAGGGGGCACCCCAACTTCAAATTCTATTCCTGGATATATCACTTATAAGGTAGTTACTGAACAAGCATGCATTGGTTACTTCTTATATTCTGGGCACTTTGCCTTGCATTTAATCCCTCTTCCCATTAGAAAGCCATGACAGCAATGTGTAGAGCTGTGCCTCCAGAACAGAGGGAGAACCCCTGAGGGCCTTTAGGAAGCTAAGATTGTGAGTCCTATTTCACTGGATGAATGAGAGGTTGCTACACAGATAATGGGGAACAATACATGAAGGCAAAATACACCAGAGAGATGAACCTGTTGTGGAAACTTCTAGTACATGTCTAGATTTGGAGGTATGGGGATGCCTGGGTGGCTCAGTGGTTGAGTGTCTGCCTTTGGCTCAGGACCCTGGGATCAAGTTCTGCATTGGGTTTCCCCCAGGGAGTCTGCTTCTCCCTCTGCCTATGTCTTGCCTATGTCTCTCTGTGTGTCTCTCATGAATAAATAATTAAAATCTTAAAAAATATATTTGGAGGTATGCACCTGGAAATGGGTTGCAAAAGGAGGGGCTTAAAAAGGTGGGCAGAAGTCATATTACAAAGAATGCATATTCATTCATCTATTATCTAAGTTTGATAATACATTATATTATGAATTTGTGCTCTTATTTTGTAGGAATATAAAAGTAGGAGATAGGGGGCACCTGGGTAACTCAGTGGGTTAAGCTTCTGCCTTTGGCTCAGGTCATGATCCCAGGGTCCTGGGATTGAGCCCTGCATCTGGCTTCCTGCTCAGTGGAGAGCTTTCTTCTCCCTCTCCCTCTTTCCCTCCCCCGCAGTTTGTGTGGGCTCTCTCTCTCTCTCTCCCTCTAATAAATAAATAAAATCTTTTTAAAAATCATAAAAAAAAGAGTAGGAGATAGGATTGGAACAAAACTTAAGTGACTGTTTACCTGCAAAAGTTAAAAAGTTGTTGCCATCATAGAATACATGATATTTCATTTTTAAAATTAAATAAACACAAAATCTCCTATTACATACTTCACAATAATAAGAGAGGAAAATAGTCATTTGAAAGTTCTGAAGAGTTGTGTGTCCAGTCAGTCTAGAATACTGTCTCTACAGCACAGGGACCCGAATGCTTTCAGAACCCCAGAGGACTTGACAGCCTCACCTCCTGGAACCCATAGGCTATGCTTCCCTCCAGAGTGACTGGTGATGTTCTATAGGAGGATTCTGTAGTCTCCATCTTCCTGTCACACTGCATCCCAGGATCATATCACTTCAGCCCAGGGGACCCCAATTATGTCGTTTTTCCTTCTGTTGGTCAGAGCAATTGCTGCTCAAGTTTCTTTTCAGAAACTTCATGTTTGACCTCAAGTGTTTTAAACCAGACCCCGTTGGAACACTCTCTCCATTAGAATCTCTTCCTTTATGTGAGGTGGTATTTTCCTTTGCCTTCTGAGGGATAGAAAAAAAAGAATTGTCTTCAGAATTCTTGAAATATCTATTTATTCCTTTTGAGGAATGGATGAAATGTTCCTAAGTTTACAACCTATTACATGACTGGTGAAGGTGCTGTGAAACAGTCATGTTTTTGCACAGTTTTCCCTCTTTTCCATGCATCCATCTATATGTGCATTGTACGCACAGATAACAAGCTCAGGTAAGTGGGTTGTGAGCAGTCTCAATAAAGCATAAGTAGCAAGACAGAAACTGGACCTTCCAAATGTGCCCATTATCCTATGGTGAGACAGAAAGTGCTGTAGTTAATAATGCAAACACTGACTGCACTGAAATCCCATCAGAGTGAACTGAGGAATGTTACTTAATCTTTGTGCCCCAATTTACTCATAGGCAAAACAGAGATAATAATAGCATGTACCACATAGAGTGGATTTGTGGATTGAATCAAAATCACATGTCAAATGCTTAGTGTAACACTCAAGTTAAATAAGTTATTATTTTGATTGACTATGTCCAAAACCTCTCTTGATCTTGTTGCTTCAACTCCCCTTTACAGGCAAATTTCCTAAAAGTGGTATGACTTCCCTTTTCTATTAAATCCCGTGGTTTTAAATTAAAATATGCCTCTCACATGGCACTTTAAAAAATGACCTATTTCCTAAAATTCTTTATATTGGTATGTTTTCTATATATGCCATCTCTACCTTCTTGCAGCCCATGTCCCCATCAACCCCACTGTACTTTGTCTTTTGCCTCCATCATACTATTGAGATTTCTGCTAAGTTCCTTAATGACTTCATGTTGACAAATTCATTATTGTTGGGTGCCAATGGAAGAAACCATATTAAAAATCATATTAGGAGTAAAGGTATTTACCCCAAAGATACAAATGTGATGATCCTAAGAGGCACATGCATCCCAATATTTATAGCAGCAATTTCCACAGTAGCCAAACTGTGGAAGGAGCCCAGATATCCACTGACAGATGAATGGATAAAGAAGATGTGGTATGTATATACAATGGAATATTACTCAGCCATACATTGACATGGATGGAACTGGAGAGTATTATGCTGGGTCAAATAAGTCCATCAGAAAAAGATAATTATCATATGATTTCACTCATATGTAGAATATAAGAAACAGCCAAGGATCATAGAGGAGGAGAGGGAAAATGGAATGGAAAGAAATCAGAGAAGGAGACAAACCATGAGAGACTCTTAACTATAGGAAACAAACTGAGAGTTGCTGGAGGAGAGGTGGAGAGATAGGGTAAATGGGTGAGGAGGGCATTAAGGAGGGCACAAGATGGAATGAGCACTGGGTGTTACATGCAACTGATGAATTATTGAACTCTACATCTGAAACTAATAATGTACTATGTGTTGGCTAATTGAATTTAAACTAAAAAAAAAAAAGAGTAAAGGAAATAAGGACCTATAATCCCAATAGCTATGTGATAACTATACTTCAGCAAAGGGTGAGGATATTTTCCAACAACCATGGCCAGGAATTCCTAGGAAATAATGGGCCATAGGGATTATGTTAAATGCAAGGATGTTTCAGAAACCCAAGCATAGCAAATTATTTAGACAATTTAACAGCAAATATTTCTAGTATAAGGAATTTGCATACTAGGACCCAAATATCATATAATTTTTGTCCAGATGGATCTGAGGGCTTGTTTGTGGTGATCAGAGGAATACATTCCTTACTATGTATAATTTCACTCTATAAATATTATCTTGATAATTCATAGTTATATGAATCAGTGAAGCCAGAACATTAGTGTACATCAAGCTATTAAATTTTTTGAAAATGTAGGAATGAAGGAAACTTGTAACACAACATTTTGAAAGAGAAGCAGTAGTATCATGTTCCATCCCATTCACAATAAGGGAGTATTTGAAAAAAGAAGAGCTTAGCTATTTTTTTTCCTTTGCACTTCCAAAGGTGGAAATATAAACATATATATATTCCTCCTTCCTTGTTCTTTTTATAAAATCTCTCTATGCATAGGTGTTTAGTGTTAGGAAACCCAGATGAAATATTTTCAAGCTTCTTTAACAACTGTGCTTTTTGATGCTTTATTTTAGTGTCTCAATATGTATTTTTGGATATATCAACTTATCTCCTTTTTCTCAGATCTAGAGACCAAAATTGGAAATAGCTTCTTGTGTTTGTTCATTCTATTCTTTAAGTCCTAAGGCCCTTTAGGGCAAAGATAATATCCCTATTCTGTGGAAGAGAGAATTATGGTGCTTGTAAGTGCCCATATGGAAATCCTCATCTATCCTAGACATTGTATCCCTAAAGGGTACCAAGGTTGGCAAGTTCAAAGATAAAATCATACAAAACAGGAGATTGGGGGGAAATGTTTTTAAACATAAACATTGCCAGAAAGCATCCACTCATAAAACATGTATGTTTCTCCTGGTAGCCTTCTCCAGAATCACCTTCCTCAAGCTGATTTAGGAAATATCCATGTGAAATTGTGATCTGCTATGGGAAGAGTCTCCTATAATTCTATGTTATGTTGACTATACTTAGTAAAAATATTTATGTAGACTTTATTGGATTTAAGTTAAATGTGTTTGCAATTACATCTCTTCTTACCCTATTTTCTCAAGACTTAGAAAATGTTCCTGTGCCTGCCTGGGCTTTTCATACATCAGTACTCTTCCCTGGGGCTTATATTTTATTATATAAGCAAGAGTTGATTTTACACAGTCCTCAAGTTCTCATCTTCATTCCTTCTCCCAGAGGCCCACCAACCAAGTTTACACAAAGAGTAAGTTAACTATTGATAAATTAGTCTGCTTAAGGGTTTTAAAGTGAAAAATGCAATATGCCAAAGGGTTATATTGCTTTAAAATTGTATGGACACACATTAATCTCCATTATTTCCCAAATGCAGAGGCCAACATGGTGATTGATCTGGGGTTGCTATACTCACATTTTAAGAAATGGTAAAGTTTCTAACTCACTGTGCCTTCCTTCCTCCTATCTGTTCTTATTTTATTATGAAAATAACGGTCTATGGCAAATCTGGGTTTCACTGAATGTCAGGTGTAGGTCACCAGGAAAAAATAAGTCAATTGCCAGGTGTCAATGCTCATTTATGCACAACCACGAAGATACATTCTATCTTTGTGAGGAAATGGTGTGGGTGAGTATACACACTGATATAAGAACTTTTTGTTCACATCAAAATGAGTCAATGTGTAAATGTATTCATAGATATGTCTATGTTGCTCTTTGAGAAAGGGTAATGAAATACTGTTACAAAAAAAATTTCCTCATCCAACTTATTTTAATATATCTTTGAAGAGTTGTTATGTTGAAGAGGAAGCACATATAAAAATAGAACAGGTTTATATATTCCATCCCTAATAATGGGATAAATCTTGGGCCTCAGTGTGGTAGGCTTGATATTCAATGAAACTGATGAGAGTTCTCCCCATGAGTCTAGAAACCTGATTTGTCTTCTTTTCCATTGTATCTCCAGCCCTTATCATGGTGCCACTTAACACATATTCAATGCATATTCAATACTCCACAAATATATTTGATGAATTAATGAACTCTACTATCCACCCAAGCCATTGCACATCATATAGGCTTTATGAATATGGACTCTGATTTTGACTTCATTCTCCCACTGGCACTGGACACCTGCCCTGAACTCTCTCAATGAGACCTTACCAAACCATCTACCTTTTAATAGCCTCTTCTCTGGGGGTTAAACCCTGCCCACCATGTAACTTCCTAATAAGTAGATTTTTTTTTTATGACTGAGATGCCCCAAGTGACTTTGAATACCATTTATATTCTACATCTGTGCCTCTCATGCCTCACCAACAAAATTTGAATTCATTGGGTGTGGGACAGATCACCTAGGTTTAGAGAAACTTATAAAACTAGATATCTATCCTAATAGTAAGTGCCATAGCGAGGACAGTTGTCCCTGCCCCAATTCATACTTTCATTAAGAGCCTACTCCAGCTTATCTCTGGGCCAGAACTCCCCAAGTTATAAATAGCAAAGAGCAGAACAAGGGCAATGGGTGGAAACTAGAAGGAAGCATATTTTAGTTCACCATCAGGAAGATTTCTCTAACAGGGCTAGCAAATTACCAAAAACATTCATATATGGATTGCTTGACTACCTGTTGGGAGTGCAGTGAAAGAAATTCCTATATTCATAAAAATATTCACGTATACAATATCTGTGACAAATGGTTCCTTTCCTTTCACCTTCATTTTTCTTTTTCCCCCCTCAAATTTTACCGGCTAGATTATGAAGGTCTTACAACCTCAACATGGTGCAAGTTGATGATTTCATTTTTAAGTTTAAAAAAGTAGTTACTTTTTATGTGATAAATATGAGTTCAGATGAACTGCATCTTAGAAAAAGTGGGAATGGTTTTAGAATCAATCAAAAGTAGAAATGGGTTTAGAATCAGTCTCAATGCTAATTCTAACCAGGAGTGCAACTTTTGGCAGATATATTCACTGCCCTAAAGATGAAAATTTTATCTAGGAATGAAGATAAGAAAAGTGACCTGTTTGTGTATACACTCACAGAGACACCTATACAGCATATTCATATATACATACATATAGTGTATATGCGGTTTACATATAGTTTCTCACTAAAGTGATTCTTTGTATATAGAATGTATATAGATAACCCTCCAACTTCAGGAAATTCGCATTTCAGTGCTTTGCTTTTATGAAGACCTGTATTGGTACCTGCTTTCAGTAACTGAAAGACATCCGAAGAGAATTTCCACTTTTATGGGAAAAAGGCTGAAAAGTGAACACAGTGCCGGTTTGGCAGCTGCCGTGATAGAGGCAGCTACGCTCCAAACAGTGACAGTCACCCAGCCAACCTCCTTCCCCGGGACCTACACTCAGCATCCCAGCATCAACTACCAGAGCTCTGACCTGACTGTGAGCACCTGTGTTTTACTTTATTTTGTGCATCGTTATCAAGATGTGTCCTAAGGTATTAGAAAAGCCTAAGTGAGGCGCCTTAGGAGAGGGGGGAGGGAAGAGGTTGGGAACACTCAGAAATATTACATATAAGTTAATAGCAATTGTTTCTTCAATTCTCACCATTTCAGTTTACAAAAGGTTCACAGGAAAGCTCTACTTTCGTGTAGTAGGGTGAAACCTGTATCTTAAAACCGGACTTGTTTCTTTTCAACATGTAGTTGGTAGTAATCGTTAAGTTTTATTGCACTCATGTAAGGTGTCTGGCTGGTACCCTGTTTCTTACCTCATTGCACATTACCTCTTTAATTGTCACAGTACTCTGTGAGGAGGAACTATACCGATTAAGAAAACAAGGTTTAAAGCATAGAAATTTTCCCCTAATAGGGCTAATAGGTGGCACAGTTGGCATTGGAATTTATGACATCATGCACCAGATCTAGATTTTTTTTACTTTTAAAGTGATACACTTAAAGATTCAGAGTACTACATGGAATCCTGTCATGATTTTCTTATTAAAGAGAAACCTACAGATGTTCGGCTTTAATCTATTAATGATGCACTGGGTGCTGCAATTTAATTAATCTTTCCTCTTCAATAAATATCTTATTGTCTCAAATTATGCAATCCAGAAAAGTGAAAATTAGTTGGTTAATAACAAATCAGCCCATATATGGTTAACATAGATCTAAGCAGAACAATATATATGTATATATATTTTAGTGCCAGCAGTTTTTAAGGGTAACTTGTCCAAAATATAATCAATGTCTATTATATTTGTCTCAACATTGGATATACACCTTTCCACAGTGTTTGGAAAATAACTCTGGACATAAGATATTTCTTCTTACCTAGTTGCTGTGGAATGTGTTGCTTTGAAAAGACAGTACTATGAGGTTGTAAATGTATTTTTTTTTTAATTTTCTTCTCTTGGAACTTTTATGTAGTCCTTGTGATGTACACAGATGTATCCCTGAAAAGTTGAGTATTAACTTAACGCTTTGAGAATAAAATTGATTTTAAATGCTTATTATTTAAGGGAATTCTCATTAATTTTATGGGGCAAATAAATTATTTCATTTTTATTTTGAGCAAATCTTGATTTTCATACATCTGATTTGCTTTCCCTTTATCGGAGCTATCTACAGAACTATAGTGAGGCTGTACTAAGTCACCTCCCCAACACTAATGCCATATATGGACAATTTATGAATTGAAAAATAAACTGGTGAACACCAAATTTGTAAGGTAAGTTTCTGAGTCCCCAGCATCTCTGTTTCTTTACTCTAATGTTTAGCTTTGGAAACTAATCAAGAGAGATTAGTTGAGTTCCTGCTATGAGAGAATCATGGATGAGCTGCCATTTAAAATGAACAGTAAACAGGCTGGAAAGAACACTGGCTGGAGTCCTGCTTTTCTCCCAAATGAGTCGACTTTGATAAATTGCTTAGCTTCCTCAGGCCTAGTATTCTCATTAGGAAAATGGCAGTAAAAATGTCTTCCCTTTCTACAGCACAGTTTATCAGGATCAAATAAGACATAATGTGTGAGGGTGTTTATTTTGTAAAGCACAAAGAACTTGACAAAATTTAAGTAAGTTTTATATTAAATCTAATTAAGTGGGTGGTGCCTTAGACACTCTGTCATCTCTTGGAAGCATTGGCAGCAAAGATGAGTCATTGAAAAAAATGTTTTAATAAAATGAGGATAATAATAATAGTACTTAGAGTACACACAATAAATATTAATACTTTGGCCACCTAGGATAGATCAGAATATGGATCCCACTGCCACTTGCCTCTAAGCAATGTTTGCTGTGTATTCCCTCTGCTTTCCTCTTATCTCTTTCTTTTCCTCCAGCCATTCTTCAGTTCTTGTTTGTCATGCCCTTGACTGGCTGGCATTCCACTCAAGATTATTGGCTTTGATATAGTGTCTTGCTTTGTAATTTTTATTAAACTGCCTTGCCTTCAAAATATCATATGCCACATTCTCAAAAGCCTAAATACGTAGTTTATTAACCTGATGAATGGCAAACATTGAACAAATTCCTGTAATTGAGCTGAATGGATTGAAGTGTAAATGGGAGACCTTGACTTTGATGTCAGTGTATCCTAATGACCTTCTTCATGGATAGAACCTTCAGAACTTTTCCCCAGAGGTGGGAAATGAAAAGTTCACCTTTTTTTGGCTAGCAGACTGTTTTGTGTGACTTAAAACTTGGTCTAAAAATTGACTAGTTGCCAATATTTTTAAATGAATATATATCATAAAGTTCCGTCTGACTATCTTGAAATATCAGAACATATGGTGATATTGCATTCTCCATAGCAAGCATGGTGGTGACAGAGGCAGGGGAGCAGCAGAGCTGGTTTCTTTAGAAGAATAAGCTATGTTCAGTACTAGGATCCCCACCCATTTCCCTTGATTTATTTATGTCATTTTGTATGGCCCCTATAGGACCTGAGTTTGTGACTCTCGATAAACCGACAGAAATAACCTAATTAAATCTTATCTCATAACCAGTTAGTCATGGGTGAAATCATGGACAGATGGTTTAAGGTGAACATATGTTGTTGATCTGTTTCTCTTATTTCATTAACCATTTTGCCAGCATTTTAAACAGTCTAATCATATGTCACAAACTATAACTGGAGAAACAGTTTATAAGGGGGAAAATCTAGAGTTTTGTTGAGCTATATTATTTTCAAATTTGAAAGGAAAGCTGCTTTGAGTTTTGATTGGCAGTTCAAAGTAGAGTTTTTCCAGCTCAATAAATGTGAGTCCTAGGCATGTTCCAAACTCTCCACCTGCCACATTCCTATGATTTCAGAATACTACAAAGGGCATCTCTGGTGAGGTTTTTACAGCATATAGTTATGGAAAGTAAAAGGCCTCTCATGAAATGTCACCATAAGTGATATATTAGAGGCAAAGAGGAGAAGACTTATCAACTTAACATTGGTAGCACCTGAGGCTTCTAGAGTTTTCTGAAGTCTTCACAAACTTCTTCCTTCATTCTCCATGCATAAGGGGAGAAAAGTTGATATGGCCAAATATAAGATAAGGAAAAATGTAGTCATATTAGTAGCAAGGGGAAATTTAATAGGAGAATTATATTTTTGGAAAAAATCCTCTCTCTCTCTCTTTCTCTCTCTTTTCAATGCCTGAAGTTCACCTTTCCTCAAATCAAAATTAAAACTTGGAGCTCAGGAATTAAGCTGTGGTCCTATAGAAAGAGACCGAGGTAACTACTTGGTAGACCTCAGTGAAGGCTGTCAATCGGAAACATGGAAGTTCTCTGTGTGATTCTATACAGTCTGGAACAGGTCACAGGCTAAAAGGTTCTCATATAGAGAGGTTTGGGATTGAAGTATTTTTATGTCTGGGCAAACAAGAAGCCCTTTTGAGTTGGCTATAGAAATGGTAACTGAATAGTCAAAGAATAGAGGATCTTGGCTTCAAAGATGTTAGATAACATCTTTACATTCCTAACAGAAGGCCTTCCCATATGTCTGGCTTTGAGCAAGGGCAAGTTAGCCTAATCTTCACCAACCAACTGTCCAATTATCCACTGGGCTAACTAGACAGTGGTTTAGGGGTCTACGGAGAGGCAGCAGAGCAAATACCAAGAGAACATTTCATCTGACACATAGACAACCACATTCTACACAATTAGTAATTCAAACTCTCTCTCAGGATCCATATAACTTGGTGAGCTATTGGCTCAACGATATACCGTGTATGAAAATGTTCAAAATGAAAATGTTCAAAGAAGACCATGGCAATGGGGATTCCAAACCTCAGTTTAGCATTTTCTACTTGTCTTGAATCAGAATGAATTTGGTGTAATTAGAAAGAAAAAGATGTATAAAAATAACTGCAATGGTAGACACAGAGAAATAACAAATGGGTGGCAGGAGCAGAGTTACTTTTTCTTCTTGACAAACTCACAAACAAAGTACATGGTAAGATGGCACTCCGTGTCATTCCATCTGCCTGAGCTCAGCATTTCCACACAGTCCTCATGACCATAGGGATCACTGGGCTCTCCCTCCTTCCAGTTGCTGTAGTTCTGCAGTGGAGTGTTGTCCGTGAACACATACTGTCCCTCCTTCTCCAGGTCATTCACCCCAATGAACACCCTGAAGAAGCCACTCTTAGCGACATAGTCAGCGATGAGTGTGTTGGCAGCTTCATCCTTTGGCATGGCCAGCATCCCACCCCGGATCCGGCAGTGTGTCAGGGACTCCCTGTAGTTCTTCTCTTCCTGCACGATGTAGTAGAATTTCTCCTCAGTTTCCCTAATCCCTGCTATGACTTTGCCGAGAGGAAAAGATGAGCATGATTATGCATCTCAGAAGGAGAAATGGCAATTATGTAATATTGCTGGACTTAAATTCATTTATTTGTTGTTCAACAAGCAAGTCCCTATTATGAGGTAGGCACTGGTTAATTTTTTTTTTATCATCTTTGTAGTTATCAAATGGAGAACAAAGTCCTGCCAATTGTCCTCCCTGTCCTTCCTCCTTAACTCCCTGCACAACTATGAAGAAGAGACTATTTTGACAAAGGCTTGTTATATGAATTGCCATTCACCTCCTCTCAGACTATTTTCCTATCCTATATTATGCTTTGCCACACATAGAGTTCCAAAGCATGCCTTTTTCTATCGCACTTCTATGACTTTCATGCCTGGAAAGTCTACTCATTGCTTTACCTGGAAAACTCCTACTTGCCATTTAGATCCCCGTGGAAGAATTTTCTCCTATAAGAACTTTTCGAGTATCTCTGGATAGGCATGGGGCTCTTGAGCACTCTCCTCCATGTTTCCATAGCTCCTTCCTCTTCCCCTTTTGTATCACTGAACACATTCTAATCTGTTTGTCTGCATGCCTCATGTACTAAACTACAAACGTCTTGAGGACAATAACCATGTCTTACCACTCAGAACCTGTAAGAGTGCATGAGAAGGTAAAAGCTTATTGAATGGATATAGGAATAATACAGAAGATTGTCCACTTTTCCTGGGCTATGAACACGTCCATAGATTGAGATTGTCCATGCTCACTCCAGGTACATGAAGTACTGAGCTACTGAATAAGCTTCAGGACAGAATTGGGGACTCAGAATCATCCTGAGCTCATAATATATTAAATGCATTTTAGGCTTTGGGGGCATCTACATGTATTTCTTTGGGTCTGTAAATTAAAATTTACCAAGAAATCTATTATCACGCCAATAAATGCTGAAAATTATTGTTCTATGTTGAACGCCCAGTATCTGTTTTTTTTTTCTTTCATTAGAATCCAAGTCATGTCAGAGACAGCATCTCAGTATTATAACCAGATTTAAAATTAAGAGTATTCTGAAATGAAGATGAACACAGATGGCATATGTGTGTTTCTAATAATGTACAAAAAACATAGCTGGATTATAATAAATAAAAGTAAAACAAAATTAAACCAATTTCAACTGTAACTACAATAGATTCCCATTCACACTGTCTCAGAAGAGAACATGTAAGTCCCACTTAAAGGGCTGAATTCACTACTGATTGCAATGGGGAAATGGCTGATGTGGGAAGTTGCACAATTCAGGAAAACACATAATATTCTGTTGATTTGTACTGAGGGTAGAGGAATCAGTGAAACCTGTATTTGAATCCCTGATACTCTGTTAATTGACTTTGTATCTACGGGCAAGGTAATTTCTGTAAGCTTCAGGGTAATCGTAATACCTACACCCTAAGTATTATTTCAAGTACTCAAGAAAATAGCTATTGTTTTTACTTCTCTTTTCTGAGATGCCGGCTCTGACTTTTCCTGGCCCTTTTGATTCTTAGGCATGACTTGCCAAACTTTGCCCTTTTCTCCATTCACCTCTCTCCAGAAAGTATCTTTTTCTATCCATAGGTAATGCAATATATGTGAATATACGTAGATAGTGGTCTCAGAGTGTCCTGGAGTCTGAGAGGATAATTAGCATTTTAAGAGACCTATAAAGTGGTGACATTATCTCAGTAGACCTTTTCCTGAACCAAGGTATTTCCCACTAGGAATACTGGAATTGTAATGTTGAAAGAGATGAAATCAGTAGATAGCACAAAGCAAAAAGGATATACTCACCATTCTTGACAAACTTCATAGATGTCTTGAGGCGAGCAACACTAATATCCAGTTGTCCAACTACTTTCCGATACCTTCCACAATCACAGACAGTGCCTTTTAAATGACAAAAACTATGAATTCATGTGAAAGCACATAGAGACCAGTTGGAAAGAGCAATTGCTCTCTTCTCCATCTTTACTATCTTTTCCTAGTCTGGCTTTATCTTTCTGTGCATGGCTATCCTTTTAGTCTTTTATTTAAAACAAGGCTTCTGCTTTACACTGTCTTCAGGAATTTACAAAATATCTTTTGAGTATTTTAAATGAGTCGAAACATAATTCTAAGCCAGATTTTTAAAGAGAAGAGTAAATATGGCAAACCCCTGCACACATACTGTGGACCGTTTGGCATTTTTGTTGAACACAAAATGTGCCTGTCCAATCTCAAAATAAAATCTTTACAGCTTTCTTAAATTTCTAGTCAATATTCTCTTCTGTTAACTGCATTGCTCACTGGCTCACACAACTCTCCCAAGACAGGAGAAAACTTTCATGATGAAACCAAATGATAATTCTAATTATCCATTTCAAGTACAGCTTGAATGATCCTTGAATGTTTCAAGGACTAAGTTTAATTCTTGTGAATAGATTCAACTTATAATTTCAAGAACCAGTTGTCCCATTTGTGGATTAACTCTGATTTTAATTTCTGCCATTCATTCCCTCCTTGCTCATTTACTTTTTCAACTACCTGCTGATACTGTGACAGAGAAAAAAGTGTAAGGAAAATGATATGAAATTCAAATGATTCCCTTTTTCTATTTAATGACTGCCTCATGTAATCAGTTCCTTTTACTTTCTTCTTTGGCAGTTGAAAAGCAGAAAGAATTTTATTAGCCAAAGGGGGAAAAAATCTGTGGCTTTATTTATCCACATTCACAGTTAAATATAAGGAATTTAAAACAGGTCTTAGAATTAGCCTTCACTACACCTCTGTGACCTCCCCCAGAGCAATCTGCTTTCTTTCCCTGCACATATCACTGGAAATAAAACTCTTTTACAACTTATGGGGACTCTCCCTGACCATTGAAGGGATGTTGTGTATCCATGGGGTCTTTCTGGATCAGGCCAGTTTGCTGTGGGCAAACTGCTGGCCCGTTTGGTTGAGATGCTGGTGGAATGTAAGGCACGCCGGTGCAGTCCTACTTACTGCTTAGGCCATGGTGGATTTTCCTAGGGCTCTAGGACAATGAGGGCTACTTCCTAATGTGCTGGGTTTGTTTCCTCCCACTAAGCATGACTAGGATGGAATGTGCCATCATTCCCTTCCCCCAGGGCTTGGAAAGTCACCAGCAGATAGAGAGGAAAGTTTCCTTCTTTCCTTTCTCCTAGCCCAAGTAAAATAAGGTTAAACACGGAGAGGACAATTGTTTTTTTCATAAAAATACATTATTTTTAAAGATGAATACATTTAGAGGTACCTGGGGATTCAGTCAGTTAAGTGTGTGCCCTTGAGTTCAGGTCATGATCTTGGAGTCCTGGGATCGAGCCCCACGTCATGCTCCATGCTCAGCGTGGGGTCTGCTTCTCCTTCTCCCTCTGTTTCCCACCCCCCACTCATGCTCTCTCTCTCTCTCTCTGTCTCAAATAAATAAATAAAATCTTTTAAAAAATGAATACATTTGGGATAATGCTAAAATTTAAGAGAAAAATGAGCATGTTGTACCTGCTTTGCCTTTTCCTCCTGGTATTCCAGGCAAACCTTTTTCCCCTTTGTCTCCTGAATAAAAAGAAAAGCCAGGATATGAACAATGAACTAAAATGGCGAATCATTTCTGGCAGAAAATATCTTATATACCTAAAAACACGGGAAACAGTTTTTAAATTTCATTTGCCATATCTCCAACTAATATCCCTTGGTTTTATATTCATAATTTGATTTTGAGTTAATTACTCAAGTACAAAACTAATCAAACAAGTCATAATTTATTTAGATTGAATGCAGAATTCTGATGGGATGGCAAATAAAGATTGAAATTTGTGTCACCTGCCCTACTAACATAGTCTTCTGAGAAAGGCTAATACAATTCTCCGCATGTTTTTAACTTCAAAAGTGCCATTGTTTTGTGTATCTGAATCACTTGGTTAGCACATTGCAGTGTCTATGTATTTATTATGTCTCCAAGTCCTTCCATATGGCTTTGTCCTTGGATTTTCAAAGATATGTTGTGCTTTTTCAATTTAATTCAAATATTTACTATTTATTACTTACCCTATGCAAGACAAAAAGCTTCGTACTTTGACAGGATATAAAGAGAGACAAGATTAAACTTCTGACTTGAAGGATTTTACACTTTTGAAAAGATGTGATATATGCAAATATCTGTAATATAAAGTTGTGTCAAATATATTATACTGAAATATCAACCTTGATAATTTTCCCTTCTACTCTTTGTATGTGGCCATTTTCTTATTCAGTCAGAGGTATCCACAAAATAATTCTTAGAGAATCAGGATTATTAAAGCAGAGAGAAAAAAAAATGTTGATTTTTTTCGGCTTCAAAATAAGCCCTTGAAGCCTACATCAGACACAATAATTGAAAGCAAAAGCTTTTGATTTCCAAGAGGAAATGTTTGGCTGAAGTTCTTGAGAATCAAAAGAGAAGATCCTGATGGAAATAAAATAGAGTTTATGCTTCAATGGTGAACTGGAAAAAGAAAAAGAAAGAATTTGAGAGGAATGAATATAGGATGAAGGTCATCCATGCTAAAAGAGTATGGGGGCTTACTTTCATGGAAGTTTAGTGAGGCCAGGGAATTAGTTATATTCCCCGAGGGAGCAATGTGAGGGGAAATGGAATCAGAATTAAGGTTCCGCCTAACCTCATCCTTTCCCAGCAAAAGGGAAAAAATGGGAGCCACTCTAAAACCCATAAGGTGGCCCACATTGCCTGCTCATTATCTATTCTTTTCATCACTGCCTGCTGAGTACTTTTCACTAAGAGTCCTGTATGTCTTAACTGTTGATCTTCCAGGAAAGCCTGCATGCCAGGGCTCTAAGAATTTGCTGAGCCTTTCCAAATTGACCCCCGTGAACACTTCTCTTTATAGTGATGGTGGATATTCATGAGCTCCCCAAACAGAAGGAGGGGTCCTTGAAATCCAGAACACAATTAAATATGTAGGATGAAGCCCCAGAACTTGCGCTTGGGTGAAATAAAACAACAGTGAAATCCATGAAAATGGAATGTGGTAAATTCTGTAAAAGAGGTGTTGAACAGCAAAAAAAAAAAAAAAAGGCGTTGAACAGAGATAATATACTCTGGGTGGGAGGTAGATGACATAGTACTTCTACTGGGAGGATGAAGAAAGGCTTTCCTGGGAAGATAACCCTGGAGCTTAGTTATGAAAAAGAGAATGAAAGATGAAGTTATGAAAGATGAAGATGGGAGCAAGGTAGGGGAAAATGCACAACAGAGGTATAGTTGGAAAAAAGCATGGAAATATGCCACACACCCAGATGAAGATTGCTCTGCTCACACCTAAGTTGTGTCCTGCAAATTCCTCAATTTCTCATACATGTAAATTGTAAAAGGTAAAAATAGATTCTGAGAATATATTAATGGAAGAAAGAGAACTTACATTTGCTAAGTATTGTTCCAGATACTTTATATAGATATTATCATATTATTTATAGATACCATCAAATTAAATCCTATGAGTTAAGTAATATTATCTTTATTCTACAATGAAAAGAATGGAAGATCATAGAGACAACATAACTTGTTCAAGGACATCTAAGCAATTCAGTGGCTGTGCTGTTATTGAAACCCAACCATTTCTGGCTCCCCAGTTCATGGTGCCTCCCAAATGAGTGAACCAATGATTTAATGAAATAAAGTATTGAAAAAATATTATCAGTAATTGAAAGGAATGCCAAGTCCTTGTCACCACCAGAAACAATACGGACTTAAAAGATCATATGAATATAGTTTAATATTTTATCTTTTGAAAATAGTGTGTTTTCTTTAAATGTGGATTCCTTTCAATTCAGCGTGGGCTGAAAGTTTATTCTAGTCCTGCTATGATCCTAGTTCTGGGCTAAACCCAATGGTGGATATCAAAGAAGGCTAACATGTAGTATTTGTTTTATAAAAATAATGGGGGTTTTAAGGAAAACAAAACATACATCAGAGACCACAGAAATGGGACACTGTTACTATTACCTACTCACAGAGTGAAATAAAGGAAGTGCCTCACAGATATTTGGCAAAAATGGCGTGGATCAGAGTAGAGAAGATGTTCACTGAAGCAAGAGCCTTCAGCTGGATCTTCCTAGCTTGCTATTTTATTTTATTTTGTTTTGTTTTATATTTTTACATTTGTTTTTATTTAAGTTCCATTTATCAACATGTAGTTTAACACCCAGTACTCAGCTGGATCTTAATAGTGCAGAAAACAAATTTTTAAATTGATAGATGGCTTTCTTGTCTGACAAGATGTAAGGACTGCGACTACTTTCCAGTATTTTCACATGAATTTCTTTCCTTTTTTAACAGATGGGAAAGCCAAAGCAGTATGGTAGAGTGAACAACCATGGCAGTCCAAAAAAACCAACGCTTGAATTCTGGCTCTGCCGCTTACTAGATAAACATGAACCGGTTACATAATTTTTTAAGCCTCTATTTCTTTATTTATTTAAGTGGAAATAATGATGCAAGAAGCAGTAGATTATGAAGGGAGATAAATTAGGTAATGTCATCTTATCCTGGAATTAACTCTGTGCTTAAGTCATAGAGAATGGTCAACCAATGTTAGCTTCTGCCAGTACTTAGCCAGAAAGCATGCCACATCCTTAGCTGGTTCATGGAGGATGTGAGTTTATAGTGCCTATTCCCAAAAATGAATTCTGGCTTAAAGCCATACACAAAACTTACTTTGGCCCATGAGCAGGAACGTGTCAGTAATAACTGTCTTAAGGCTGAAGAATTAGAGGTTGTATTTAAACAAACAAACAAACAAACAAATCATAGCACTTTTACTGTAAAAGGATTATTGACCTTAAGTAAAAACATTTATTTTGCTATGAGATTGAATTTGCCTATATTAAATCATTCTCTCTTATTCCTAAAATGAAATATTGACATCCTGAAAGCTACCTTGTCCATGCGAGTGACAACATTAAGGTCAGCCCAGAAAGTTGAGATTAATCTGAGTCAGTGAAAAATTTAGAAGGGCCCACTGATGAAATGAGGACAATAAATTTCAAAGTGCAGATTAAAAATGAAATTAATCCAGGTGAGCCAGAACACTAACCCTCCATTTTTTTGAAATTCCAGGACATGCTCATAAATTTTGATGGCATATCTCTGGAGGAGAAAGAAATCTCAGTGAATGGTGGAAACTGATGTTAAGGGACAGTAGTACTTATAGAAATAAAGAGTAGAAATAGGCCACATCATAGGAAATGATATGTTTTATCATTTACTTTTTCATTCTTAATGCAGTAAATTAGAAAGTTTCCACTGTATAATAGGCATTATGATAAAATGATGAAAAAGTATGGTCCCCACGCAGAGCTTATATTTATTTAACTAAAAGTCCCAATACAGCCTTCACTCATTTGTTCCTCCAGATGTTCACAAGTCTGTAGGGGAAAAAAGACAAGCTAATAAACCATGACAATGTGTAAAATGATAGAAGTGTACAAATATGGAATTGGCTTGAAGAAGATAAGGTTAGTTAACTCTATCATTTCCAGACTGTTACTTCTTCAATATTTGTGGAAGTCCATCCATTATGAGGCTCAGAAAATCATACTGAACTCTACTCTTCCTATCTCTGTCATGCACCACCCTCCCCAAAATACCTTGTCTTATTCTATGAAAGGTTTAAGACTTGACTCAAGTTCATGAACAACAACTCTCGGAGTTGGAGCCTCATCTGTATTTGACACATCTAAATCTAGGCAAATGCACCAGCTAGAACAACTCATTGAAAAACAAACTTCTTAAATTCTGGACATGTTCATGAGAATGACTCCTCTTTCCGCTCCACTCCTACTCATCTCCAGGGCAGTACTTGGGATCTCAACCACATGGAACATTGAGACATTTCAGAAATCTTGAAGTCCAAGATCCCATTTACTGGCTATATCTTTCCATCTCTTAGCCAGTAGTTAAATGAAGCTGATACAGCTAAGAGCAGCTCCATGATGCATTTTATCTGAAAATTATACAATCTGAGGAGCCCTCTTTAAGAAAAATAATACACAATTGCAAATGGAAAAGTGGTATAAAAATGAATACCTATAAGAAAAGAAATAAAAACAAATCACTACATTTTAAAAGTAGACACCACATTGAAAATTCACTAATAATCATAACATTTTAATTAATAAAGTTGCGAATCTATAGTTCTTTTTTTCACACCTGTAGGCTGCATATGTTTGGCTGCATTCATGAATATGCAACTGACCTACTACTACTTATTGATAAGTGCATCATTTCCCATTGCAAAATAGCATCAACTTTGCAAAAACCAAACTTAGGAGTCTTCCTGCATGTTCCATTCACTTTCATTGGTGTATTTATCTGCTTCTGCATAAATTAACACTATTTTGTAGCTTTAAAAAAATGTTTAAATTCAGCCTTCCAGTTTTGTTTTTCTTTTTTAAGGTTTTCTTTGGCTGTTCTTGGTTCCTTTCATTTCCATATACATTTTGAATTGGCTTATGAAATTCTGAGAGAGCTACTTCTGGGATGTTTATTGAGATAGCAT